ACACTTTAAACAGAAAAGATATCGAAAAATTTAACTAACCTTTCGTGCTATGTAATCGTCACGAACATAATAGACTTGGCAGTCTTCTATCGGTCTGTTTTTATTTTTTTCGAGTTCATCGACAAGCCTGTCAAGTTCTAGAAATGGAAGAAACTGCTAGAGAAAATAATTTGAAAGACGCACTTAACGCCTTCTTTAGTGAAGATTTAAGGCTGGATATGCGGGAGTTGTTGCGCAGCTCCTCTGTGCCCTGAATGAACGCCTGATCCATGACGCCACAGTTCTTTGGGTTTGGAAACAGAAATTCGGTTTCGAAAGGTATGGATGTTATTTTAACGGGTCCTTTGGGGAACAAAAAAGTAGAAAAGTTAAGCTCTTGCCAGAAGTTTAACGGTAGGCAAAATAAGCGTTCAACCTTTAGAATGGACCGTATCGTTAAATGACCAGCCAAAAAATGACAACAACACCGAGACGAAACCCCAGTGGGTTGTGAGCATAGAAAGAACAAAGGAGTTTCTCGGTAATATTAATGATTACCTGAAACTTGACCGTTAGTTAGTCCAGCGGCTATGCAACGCATTGATTTGATATTGCGGCCAATTCGAGTAGACCTACACCTATGGTTATGTGCAACATTAAACAGAAGAAGTCTTGAAACTTACTGAAATTCTGATAGTTTAGGTGGATCGGAAAGAAGTAGACCACTTTTGGCATAATCATTTCTCAGGCGTACACCTAGGTCGTAGAGGTTTTCCTGTCCGATCGATGTCAGCATGCCAATACATTCACCCCCCTATAAGAACAAAGTAAGTCTAAGAGAACGATGAGTACTGGAAGATGGAACGGTTTGTAGATAAGGTCCACTGTCTCCTCATCAACAACTTTCTGAGTATCGCGATCAAGATGAACGAAAGGGATCATCGTTTTGGGTACATCAGCCGTTGTCGACTTCGGCCAATCTGCCTACGGAAGTAATGGTAAGATGTAGACACTTACGTCGCAAACCGGAGATTTGACATAATGCAGAGGGGTTCGCGCACCATGGCGAAAATATATTTGCACCTGGACAAGCTTCAAATTGATTCCACTACTACAGAAGAAAATCAGCATCAGCGACTATGGTTTAGAGAACTCACCCTAAGCGGACGAATTTGCTCCTACAATTTAAAAAATGAGCACTTATAAACGTGAGTAGAAGAAATTTAAAGTTTGTAGATTCCAAAAAAAACAAGCAACCTAACACGTAGCATGCAAAAATGGCTGAGCAGTCAGATCATGCATTAAGTAAATGTGGAGAGGGATGAACCCATGCTTTGTGGTGAAACTTCTCTACATTATTGCCCGGGAACTAATGGTAGCATGGGTCTAGTTTTTCGCGAAACCAGAGTAACACGACCGTAAGATATGTGACTACGAGGGGAATACACACGAACCGGGTTCCTTTCCCCGACTTCCTCATTCTATGCAGGTTCTTTCGCCAAACGCAATAGCAGGAATTTATCTCCCTAAAATACTTACAGTGTTTGACGCAAAGCCCAACAATTAGAACGAAAATATAAACCAGAGTTCAGTTCTCGAGGTCCAGGCTTTTGAGAAACCCGTCAACACTCGCAATAACTTCATCAGATGGCCCCGACAACCACTAATTTATGTGAGAGCTTTTCCATGCTATAAAAAAGTTGATAATTATTTTTATAAGCAGCTTCTAAGCGTTGTGTCACCGTCTAGTAAACTTAGATGAAGTAGTCGTATGCCGTTGGTCATCATACTTCCTAGGAGCTCGAAGTAAGGGCATGAGTTATTCAGTAAGGCAAGCCAAGTAAGCGGCGAACAAACATAGCACTAAAAGCCGATTTATGGGACAAGAGTCATGTTTCAGAGACAGAGCCATATTTACAAAATTCCACGAGTATCGTCATGAAAAAATGCCATTCACGAACGAAAAATATTTACAAACGGTCATTGAAAGTCGATTGTTTAGGAAAGTAAATCATACAAGCGAAACGGACGATTTTATTGAGAATGTGGTTAACGAAAAAAGCCGCAATTGCTGCAACTAAACTATAAGTGGGGAAAATTAAATCATTGCACGCAATAATTTAGGCAATTATGGGATGAAAGGAGCTCGCATAAGGCTGGCTACCCCGCAATGCATAAAAAATGATGAAAACTGGCATTACATGCTGTTCTGGTTCAATAACAAATAAACGCAAACGGCGAAAGCGACAACGGCTAACAAACGTCGACCACGACCGCGGACACACATTATATAGGCGGACAGAATGTGTTTTTAAACTCCGCAGCCAATCCGTCAGCGAGATAAAGGGCGTTTGTGTTTTACGTTCAAGCATGTTAGTTCAAGTTTACCAAAGTGCAGCTTCGGTTAACGAGGTTACTCTGTTTTAACACCAAATCCGTCATGTGAAACACTCATCTTGAGAAAAACGCACTGATTGGTTGCGAGCGATGAAGGACTCACGTCCTCGGAGCAAGACGCGACGCAAACAGAGGCACACACAGACAAAACACACATGCACTGACAATTCATTTGCTGAGCAGCAGTTCCTCAATCGTAACAATTTCGCTGCAATTGGTTCGCTCGTTGCCTTAAACGCTCGTATATATGGCTTCTTATCACCCGAGGTTCTAGTGCTTTGGCAAATGAGCACTGCTACTAAAGACAAGGGAGACTACAATGGACATGTCTAGCTTTTAAGCCGCCATCTACCAGCCATACGCCAAAGCAATAAGTGTACCACCCGACAGCTTGTTCTCTTGCCGGTTTCGATCATAAATATTGACACTACTTGATGAACGTTGACCGTTCGCGAACGGAACTCGCTCATCCCTTTCGGTCTTGGGGTCGACTTCCGAGGCCCGCCAGCAGCTGCACGGTGGCTGGTATTGTAGGCAGGTGAACATTGACTGTGGGGAGATTACCAAAAAAGAGAAGTTCGGTAAGTGAGGTTTTTAGACTACTGTGAAGCTGGAATCATAGGTTTATTTATCTGAATTATTAATTCTTTATCTAGGACAATTTTCAACGGTTATATTTTAAAGACAATAGACATTGAAAGTTCACGGCACCGATAGGCTTTGTAGGTTTTACGTTCGGATTCTTTTTTATACGTAATTTTGTATGTATGCATGTCTGCTTAATTAAATAAACACTTCGTTATTGCTTTAGCTTGCGAGTTGGTGCAAATTTCTAGCATGCTTGCTTTGAGAGTGCTTGAGGTAACGAGTTGCTGCATGCGACCTTTTAATTTCGGCATAACCTATTTCTCGATGGACGAGTTGCTGGAAGTGCAAGCTTGACTTTCAAATCTAGACAACAAAGCCTTCTCTGCAAGTCAACTTTAGGCTACTGCTACAGAAGGATATCGGAACTTCGTATATCTGTATTTCACCTCTTGATGATGTACATTTTTTGTGATTTTAAGCATTTTGTCTATCGCTACAGTTTATAATATTGCAGTAGCTACTTCCTAGGTTTTGCGTTCACGTCATTTCTAACATGTTTTACTCGATTTGCAGGCATTGACTGTGGTAAGCCACTACAGGTTTTTGCCATTCTTAAAGTCTTCTTGCAGAAACTCTATGTGTCTGTTGATCCTTTTTCTTACTGAACTATTTTTGGTTACTTTAAATCCAGCCGCACATTCTACAAAGTCAGTTTTCATCGTGGCTGCGAACCGAAGTACAGAACCTATCAGTACATGATCCTACAGTAACATAAATTCCTGAGGGTTCTAGGCGGGGTTGAAAAATACAAAACGAATGTGATTTATTTAGTTTGTTAGAAGAAAAGAACTGATGCCTTTGGTCATTAAGTATGCATGCGGGGGCAGGACTACCCTTTCTGTCGTTTGAATCTGGTATCGAGTTTCCTATTCTTCAAGGGAAAGGGTCAATTAACCGTCAAAGAAAGCAAGCAAAATTTACAGTGGAAGGGGCCATTTAACCGTCAAAGAATGAAAGCAACATATAAAGGGGAAAGGTGGAAGGATGGCAATTAACCGTCAAAAAGACCAAGCAAAATGTATAGGGAGAAGGGTCAATTATCCGTCATAAGGGCGGGGGTGGAATGTGGCAGGCAGGGAGGGATGGACAGGACCACCAGTGCCGTAAGTCCGGAGATACCTGCGCAGGGCAACATATGAGGGCGCCAGCTCGATGCATAGGTTAACTGAGTTGTCATCCGACGCCCAGGCTTCAATCAGTTCTATAAATAAATTGTATATTAAGGCCCCCAAGGGGCCCTTTCATTACAAACTTAGTGCTATCGTGAAAATAAGAAAATGCAAGGGGCCCTTTCATTACAAACTTAGTGCTATCGTGAAAATAAGAAAATAAGAATAGTTCCGATTAACAACGAACTCTTATAAAATAATTATCTTGGCAGTAAAAAAAAACTCCTACAGCGGTGGATGAGTTCAGCGAGCCACCGATTTCCAAGAAAAATGTAGGAGAAAATACTGCCTCAGGTAGCATGGTATGACATGATGCAGTTAGATGGGATCCTGCTGTTGGGGGTTCGGGACGCTTATTGTCATGGTAAAAATAATATAGCCGTGAGTTAAGAAGGGGTCATCTGGAACAACAGGAGAAGACAGTAGAAGTCAAGGCATCATCACCGAGATGCGACCCACCAAACTCCAGT